ATATATATATATATATATATATATATATATTTGTGAGTGTGTGTGTGTGTGTGTGAACATTCATTTGTGCGTACTGTAAGGCTGAGACAGAAAAGATTCATGATCTTGGGCTCAGCGGTAGACATTATTTTAAGCAAGTCAGAGAGCTGAGAATGTATTTTTCTTAGTTCTATTAAAAAAGGTTTCAATGATTGAAAAATGTTTGGTTCAGTCAATGTTTGACGAGTTTATAATCGTTTTTGATTGTTCAATTTTAAGGCTGCCCTAAAACACACAAAAAAGAAAAGCTTTTTTTGTTTGTTTCTTTCTATTTTCTCTCAGGGTAAAGGTTTCAGAAATCTCTGTTCAACTTTGATCAGTCTATATATTTTAGATGTGCAAACTGGCAATATAGTCTCATAAAATAAACCTGGTGAAAAGTTGAAGCAACTGCTTCAACTGGTATTTTTAGCAAAGAGTCAACACTAGAAAGTAATTATCATTGGTATTAGCTGAAGTTAGTCATTATTTAAAACAATCAATTGTAAAAGTTGACTGATAGTAATGATTGATATCTATTTTCATCTAGTTGTCCTTTGAGTGTTTGTTTTAGGAAAGGTAAGGAAAGGGATTGGCCATGTTTTTATTTTTAGTCATGTGACAGTGATAATGATGTAGCATGGCAAAGAGAGGTGCGTAGCTGAATTATATCCTTTTCACACCGGCCGAAAAACCCAGCTTAAACCCGGGAACAATCTGCTTTTAGTGGCAGTGGGAAGAGCTCACTGATGCGTGTCAAACCACTCGGCAATCGACCGGTGTTAAAATCTTCTCGGCTCGGATTGGCAAGCTGTGGGAACACCAGAGCCGGGTTTACCCGCTACATTATGTGACACCATATACATATGACATTGGATGTCAACACACCGCGCCAGCCACTTCGGATCTAACGAACCAAAACAACTGTTTACATTTTATAAGTATGGAACAACACTAGTGACAGGGATTCGGACAGATGAAGGAGCGAAATAATAAAGAATACTGACAACGCTCTTGCTCTTCATTATTTACTTCCCTGATTTCCGTCGCACTTTTGACATCATCAACGATTATCCAGCTTGATGTTGTCATCAGACACACAGTGGTGTAGGAAAGTGGCCACGCACCGTGCCAGCAGGGGGTCAGACTCAGCTGTTCGGTAAAATGGAAGAGCAAAAAGCTGATTGTTAGCGGGTCAACCCAGTTTTGAAAACCAAGGTATTCAGTGGGAATTTTTATAGTGTTGAAAGGGTAAAAACTGTATATAGTAAAATAATAATTGTAAATATTGGTAAAAGCAGTGATAATATTTTAGAATATTAATTTGAAACAATATTTACTTATATTTACTAAAAAAGTATTCTACTCTTCTTAAAAGAAGCACATATTTATGCCTACTTTCAAAATCTATGATTTTTTGGCTACTCCAGACCATGCAGGAACCCTTCATCTACACTCATAGCCACTGCAGTGCTTAACATTCAACTCCTTGCTTCCACTGTTGTACTGACACAGGGAGGGGCTTTAGTAAAAGCTGAAAGCTGCAGATGATGAACACAATCTTTCAGTCATGTAGAGATGGAGGAAGAGGTGTTTGATGGCTTGTAAAAGTTAGAATGATGGATCTAGCTGGAAGAGGGCTCATTAGTGTCCCCAAAAACCTCCAGAATCCCAAAATATGAGCATGAATTGATCATTAATTGCAGGTGGAGAGGGAATATTATTTTTCAACCCAAATCTGGTTGGCATGTCGTGGATGTCACGCTGGCTTGGAGACGGAGCAGCTGACACGCAGCTTCCCTATTCCTCGACTGCCACCCGCCGCCCCCACCAACCCCCAAAATCCTCAGCCCTAAATCTGCACGTCATTCCAGCCTGCACTGGTAATAGCAAGCTCCTCCACAGGCCACTGGCAAAACAGTCGCTTCTGTTTACTGTAAGCAGTTGTGTTTACTTGTGCACCTCTACCCACAACGTCTGCTCAAGCAGCTGGAAATAAAGCGAAAATACTAACCATAAAAACAGGTGCAGCTTTTATTTATCTATCTTTTTGCCTCATGTTGTCTTCTTCCTCCCAGGATCCATCTCGTACATCCATGTTGGCACTTAGAAAGCTGATGTCTTTATTAGCGTTATCTCTTTTTATCATGTTTTCCATTAAGCAGCCCCAATGTTGCAGAGAAGCCCCCGTGAATCCATGAGTGAGTGTCCTTGCAGTGCTCTATTACCTCCTTTGATAGAGCGCGAGGGGAATAAAAGCCTTCTTTATGTCTGTGAGACCGGATGTGCAAGAGCTGTTCTGAATATTTATCAGACTTCTTTTTTCTGTAACATAGTCACTGCATAATTCCAAACAGTATATGACCTGGCCTTCCTGTTCAGGAGAAAGGGAAAGATTGATTGGAAACTGTGTGTGACTGTATGTGTGTTTGCACGTTAAATAAAGAGAGAGGGGGGGAAAGAAAAAAAAAGTGGCCCCTATTTTTCTAAAGGAATAAACATTCCTGAAAGAAACTTATCTAGCTTTTCTTTATTTTCCCAGGTCTCTGGATCCAAACGCCGCCCCCCGTGGGCTCTGCGGTGGTCTGGGACCAGCAGTGTGTGACGGACAGGCGAACGAAGCCTGTGGTGGCCTTCTACTGTGCGTCTTCAAATTGGCTCTGGCTGAGCTCTGCATGGAACAGGGAGTGAAGGGTCCTGCTATTGTTTTGACGTCTCAGCATGGATGGAGTCACCACCACAAATGAGGCCTTCGTTCTTCTGCTGAGGACTAGCATTTACAGGATTACTGTCTTTGTTACCCACTCCGTTCCCAACTAACTGCGTTGTTGCTTGATTGTCCTTTGTTGGACCTTGTTTTTTTTTAGTGGATACATACAGTTTATTGTCTTTTTTCGGGGAGGAAAAGTCTTTTTTATTGTTGGTTTCAATTTTGTCTTTTTTTTTCCACTATGGAGTTTCTGGCTGGACCGTGGAATAAAGATTGGGCCTCGTTTTTGCAGTTTTGGTTGACTGTCATCCTAAGCCTTCAAATGCAGTTCAGCCCAATTGCTTCATGTCCCCAAGTGTGTCGTTGTGACAAAACGTTTATATACTGCAACGAACGCAGCCTGACATCAGTGCCTATGGGGATAGGTGAGGGGTATAGAATCCTCTACCTACACAACAACCAGATCAGCAATGCTGGGTTTCCTGTGGAATTTCACAATATAGAATCCATAGAAGTTGTTTCTCTATATGGCAACCAGCTGGATGAATTCCCCATCAATCTGCCCAAAAACACAAGAGTCCTGCATCTTCAGGAGAATAACATTCAAACAATTTCCAGAGCAGCTTTGGCTCAGCTAAGTAAACTTGAAGAGCTGCACCTCGATGATAACTCCATCTCTACAGTAGGGGTAGAGGAAGGGGCCTTTAGGGAGGCACAAAGCCTTAAGCTCCTTTTTCTTACCAAGAACCACTTGAGCAGTGTTCCTATTGGCCTTCCTGAGGAGTTGAAGGAGCTACGCTTGGATGAGAACCGCATTGCTGTTATAGCAGAGGAGGCCTTTCAGAATGTGACAGGTCTGCAGCGCCTCCTGCTGGACGGGAACCTACTGACGGATGAGGGCATTGCGCCGGGGACTTTCAGGGAACTGAGCTCTCTTCAAGAGCTGGCCCTGGCTCGAAATTCCCTCACCTTTCCTCCGCCCCTCTTACCCAGCCAGTCACTGGTCAAGCTCAGTCTGCAGGAGAACCTGATCAACCAGATCCCTGTGGCAGCCTTTGCAGACCTTAACAGACTAGAAAGATTGGATATTTCCTCCAACCAGCTGCAGACTCTTACGCAGGGAGTATTTGATGGGCTGTCAAGCCTGAAGAGCCTCATGGTGCGTGGCAACCCCTGGCGTTGTGACTGCTCTGTGAAATGGGTGGTGGTGTGGCTCAAGTCTTTACCATCCTCCATCAATGCCCGGGGATTTGCGTGTAGCAGTCCAGAGAAGGTGAAGGGCATGATAATCAGAGAGCTCACATTGGATATTATAGAGTGTCCTATTTTCCCTGACCAGACGCCCTGGCCAACCCTCCGCTCCACACCTCCTCCTCCACCCACCACCTCCCCTATCACCACCATGATCTCCACCCTCATCACCACATCTAACCCTTACTACTTTGACTCCCCCTCCCCTCCCTTACCACCTATCCATAATAACCCCCCAGGACCACTTCCTCCATATGAGGATCCCCTTCAAATCTCCTTCCACGTGGTCAACTCCACCAACATTGAAGTGAGCTGGGCGTCCTATTTCAAAGTCACAGCCTACAAAGTTACGTGGGTGAAAAGGAGCCAAAGCCAAAATGAAGGGATGCGGGAGAGGACAGTGAGTGGAGATCAGCGCCATCTAAGTCTCACCAACCTCGAGCCCCGTTCGGTGTATCGGATCTGTGTTCATGTTCTGGACACCCTCAACTCCTACAGGCCGGGGGAGGATACTATCTGCTCCGAGGCTAGGACCAAGGCGCCTGCTTCTACTAAGCCTCCGGGGCGTGAGCAAGCCCCGCAGGACAGCCTGAACTCCACACTGCTTATGGCTGGGATTATAGGCGGAGCAGTTCTCATCATCCTAGTGACACTGTTGGGCTTATTCTGCTGGCACATGCACCGAAAGAGTCGGTCTGCTTCTACTAAGTGGAAATACAACCGTGGTCGGAGAAAAGACGACTACTGCGAGGCAGGAACCAAGAAGGACAACTCCATACTGGAGATGACCGAGACCAGTTTCCAGATAGTGGCTCTGAACAATGAACAGCTCCTCAAGGGAGACTTCCGTATTCAGCCTATCTACACGCCCAACGGGGGCATTGGATTTAGAGACTGTCACCTCAGCAACAACAGCATAGCCTATTGCAAGAGCAGTAACGTGCCCAGTACAGAGTTCTGTCACACGTGATGCAGCCCTCTGACTGACACGTACATGAAACAACTGCTCACATAGACACTGTTTGTGTAGATGACATCTAAAAAAAAAAGTTCTAGTGAAATATTACTGTACCATATATATTTCCAAGATCCGTCTACAATGTAATTTATACTGTGGATAATAATGTGGGATTCTCTGCTATCTTTTTTATTCTTAGAAAAAGAGACACAAGTGTTTTCTTTCTTTTTTTATAACCAGCAGGGTTTTGAAAGTCGTTTCAATGGTCAGTACTGTACAAGAACATGGGTTTGTACAATCACAACACCCCGGGTGTAGCTCCTGAGAGAACGTAGCGACAGCCTCGGAAATGTAAGAGCCACCTTAGAGGGCTGGGATCCTTTGCTAACCACAGAAAAATATAAGGCCTTTCTGGTGTATAGTACCTATACCCCAAAATGATCATCCCCCTTCGTTAGGTTTGCCACCGTGGAACATAACGTGGATTTTAAAACACTTCTTATTGCAGTGTTTTTAAGGAATATGATACTATTTGTTTCTAGAAAGTAAAATAAAAAAGGAATTAAAGTGCACTTTCTTATTAACAGCAGCTAGGCAGGAAATAAGGCAGAGGTGGTGACCACTTGCAGGTCGACATGGATGGAAAAATGTAATCTCTGTGGTAATTAAATTTCCCAAAAGTGCCACCCTATTAAAAAAGCATGTTGTTGTGTTGCTTTACAGAAAATAATTGTATGCTTAAAATCAACAAAGGATCTCTTTTGAATTGTAATTTGCCCTTATACTACTTTTTAAATGATTTTGGCCACAAGGGGGCAGGTTTTCATCCAACCGTGTGTGGGACCAAGTAATGTTAGTGAGGCCAGTGAGATCACATTACCTCCAGCATTCCCCCAGAGCTGATTACCCAGACAGCATTACTCATGCTCAGGCAGCATTGTGTGAAGTATTTATGCTCGTCAAGCTAGTTAATGACATGGAAATAATTTAACACTAACAGTATTTTCAATGTTTGGTGGCTAAATGTTAAAGATTTTTCACTGCTTTCTACTACAGCATAAAGATTCCTCTGAGATTGGAGCAAAAAAAAATAAAAGAAAGGATGATGAATTTGGATATGTCTCACACATGACGCTAATTATACACCCACATATTTCATCCTTGTCCCAGCGTTTATTAGACATAGTGATGAATTAGGAAATTACTTTGAGCTCACACTCCGCCCGTGATCATATCCAGAGCCATGACCGAGAACCTCGTCTATCTCATCATTATTTATCCCTTTGTCCCCGCTCACGAGACGCCTTATTTCATTTTCAGTTTGCTCGTCTCGAACAATGCACCTGCTCTCTTTGCAGCAGTAGTAGCTGAAAGGATGATTCGCACTCTGTCCAACCCGATTTACCCTCCATTCCAGGCTGCATGCTCTGATCCCTGCATGGGCTCAATTAAAACCTTTTTCCTGCCCCTGGGCTCAGACGCTGCGGCGGCAGCTCTTCAACATGTGAGAGGTCTCCATTTATGCACTTAGGACTTTATTTGATCTGACACAATTTGATTTTAAGGGGCCAAGCTTAAAGAATTCCCACCCACCTCTTTTCTCATAATCCTACCAAAAAAGGGAGAAAAATATGTCAACCTTATTTTCACTTGGCTGCAAGAAGCTCACTGTAGAGGAAACAGTCTTTAACTCTTTGAGAGGCACCATAGATGTCCCTGCTCCAACACGTTTTATAAGGTTCTAGACGTTTGCTTGGAGCAGAATATCATTCAAGGGCTTGAAAGATTTCTTTCAGATAAAGATTTCCCTGATGGGATTTACTGCAACACTCAGTGTCTCAAAATTAGTTTAATTAGATTTTAATTTCAGCTGCAACACTGACCATTATCATGCTTAATTTAGGGCATTCCTAACCCCAGTGCCAAAAAGTTATATAACATGCGATTAAATCATTTATTGCAGTAATTTGATATATTAAAATCTTGTATTTTTATTAAATTTTTTTCAAATAGAGACGCTACAAATTAACATCTAGTTTACTTAAAATCCCGAATAAAGAACCATCTGCAGAGCTTATGTTTCTAATGAATCTGTGGAGGGATGTATCCGCTCAGAGCAACGCCACATTAGTTTCACTTGATCGTTGTTCTAGTAGGAAAGATTTATTTATTTTTTCATGTTTTGCACATAAAATCCAGTTGGTATTTTCTGTTTCCCCTCAATCAAGAAGTTTGTTTCTTACAAAAAAAGGATAGACATTTAAGGAAATGAAATTATATAAACATTTTATCAAATATAAAATTAAAAAAATTTTATTCTTTAAAGATATATATTTATACAATAAAATACTCAACATAATCAGTGGAAAAGATCTTTATTTGGCATTACTCAAATGAACCCCTTTTTATAATTATTGAGATTTTTTTTCAGTGTTTCCACTTTTATGTTTAAATATATTTGATGATGATCTCCAAAAACTTTGAGGTTGGAAGGTCTCCTGCTATTACCCTAATTTTTAGCTCCAAATCCTGACTGGCTGGGCCACTCTAACATGCTATTATTAATTTTAGGGAAAACACAGCTGTTAGAAGGATTAATTTACTTTTGCCAGGGATTCAGTCATTTTACACAAAAATTTAGCTTGGAAGAATTACCTTTAAATTCATCATGTCTTTGATAACAGCTAAAAACCCAGACGCATTAGCTAATTGCTGTGCTTACTGACCACATAATGGTTTTAGTAAAACAGGTCAGTTAGAATATTTAATGGAGCATCACCAAGGAAGTAATTTTACTAAATAAATCTCATAGTTGCTGCTGTTCTGTGTGACAGATTTTTATTAAATAAAAATGGTTGCTAAAATAAGGAAAGCTTCAAACTGCAACTTTTGCTCTATTTGTTTTTTCCACAGTGGATTTTAAGGTTGAAATTGTTAAGAAATAACTATATTTAAACGTCATATTCTGCCTTTATTGTATAATTTTTTTTAAACCTAAAGAATTCTGGCCTATCATAAAAAAATGGGCAAGGAAGGTAAATTTAAATATTTTTTTTTTCATCCATTTAGTCTTTTTACACTGGTTATTTGTGGATGAAATCAAACCATGATTTATGCTCAATTTTCACACCCGGTCTTGATATTTTGAGCGTGTTCTGAGTTCAGCTGACTAGCTTGTGAATGTAAGCTTGTTTTAAAATCTACTTTAAAACATTTTTTTCCATAAATGTTAACTGTTCAGTGATTCCATATGAAATAAAATGTGTAAATTGACATATTGCAAAGTAATCAGCTGCAAAATTCTGTCTGAAAACCAAAAATTAGAACATAAATTCCAGCTATGCTTCAATTAGGTCTTCCCTGCATACTGACTGACTAATTTACTTATTTTACCTGTGGATTTAATTAGACTTTTTTCTCTCTACCAAGTTAAGAAGAGATTATTGTGCTGCATGGGCTTTAATAGAGGTCAGTTAATTTATTTATAGACCAAATAAACAGTGGAAGTTCCCAACTTTGACTAATTCAATAATAGTGCCAAAAAGATTTAATTATTGAGTACACGGTTATAGTCAATAAGTTAGAATGTAATTAAAACATTCATTTATTTTCGACAAATCAATTCACTACGTAAAACACATTATATAGAATAATTAAAGCCTCTATTTCTATCATGTTTATTTTTATTTGACTACAGCTAATTAAAACATTTTGGATTAAAATATATTGGACTAATAAAATCCCATTTTCAGTATAGACTAATAGAAAGATTGTCTATAACTTGCTTAAAGTTGTTTTAAGATGGTATTTTTAATCTGACCAACAAACTTTATTAAACACACTGTGAATAATTCATTATGACTTCTGAACCCATAATTAGCCATTTGCAAAGGAAACTTGTGGAAGCCCTGAATATTAAAAAAACTGTTTTAATTTTAAATAAAATAAAAAATATGTTTTTTATACAGTAATACCTCTTTATTTAAAATGATAGTATTACTTTATACTCAATCAATAGCTGAAAGACCCAGTTGTCTTCTATCATTTGGTGGGCCAGTAGGTGAAAAGTCTGGAAATTGCTACTCAAAGCAAATATTGTACCAGTTAGTCATAAAATGTGTTTATTATTAACTTCTGTGGTTACCAAAGTCTCCAAAATTTTAACTTAAACATTTTTCCAGTGATATTTACATATCAGCTCACCCAATTCACATTGCCCAGCAGTGACCAGGCTGCCCTAATTATCACCCAGACTTGCCCTGCTAAACATCTAAATGAAAATTCCCCAAGCTTTGTTGTTTACATGCTGTTCCAGTTGATCATTCTCCCACACGGTAACACTTTGCCATGAACTTTGTTTTCCCACTTTTTGAGATGAAAGCCCCGTTTGAAAGCGCCGTCCTGGTCAAACATGTCAGGTCAAATCATTGCCACATAGTATCTGCCCTGTCGGTGAATGTTTAACGAACACAGATAATTGCCTTATTCTATTTTGCTGGACTGAGTGTTGAGCTGTAGGTGGTTAAATGGGTTGAAGATGAGAAGAAACGTCAACAAGAAAGCTAAAAAGAAAGCACATGTCTGACAGGCTAACATGAAACACACTAGCAAATCGAGGACTGTTGATCTAACGTATTGTGCCAAAAACTAGCCTGAGCAGTTAGTGAGGAGCTGTGGTAGTTGTTTTATGGTTTGCGATTTTTTTAACTTTGCTGACATGATGTGGCGTCAGTGTTGGGACCAACAGCATCATGGGAAAAAATCCTTTCTGAAGCTCTGAGTGTTCCTTTTTTAATCTATGGAGGTGGTCAAAGGCTAATTTGTTCATGCATATTATGTTTATTTAACAGTCTTATATGAAACCAATGACAAATAAATGGCTTATTGGATTTTTGTTGCAAATAAATACAATTAATACACCGTTTTTATGTCTTCAACAGATAAGTCGAGATCTAAATGTGGCTTTTCTATGGTTTTTCATGTCTTAAATCATACAAACATGAAATCCCAAGAAGGGAAAGGAAAAAGAACATTTATTTCACAAGATAAACAAAAATGAAATTGTTTTTTTTTTGAGCGGGTCTTTGGATATTTTGCTGAATATTCCAATGATTAAAAAAAGAAGGATTTGCTTTTAGTTTTAAAATTAAAAATATTCTATTAAAATTCAGGTTACTTTACCATTCTTTGAATGGTATCCCTGAAATATCACAATTGGAACACGAAAAAAAAAATATATATATACATATTTAATTCTCATACTTAAAAAAATAACACCCCACCAACATACCAACATAGAAATTAATTATTGGGTTGTTTTCTTTTTCTTCTGTTTAGTTATTGTAATTCTGAGGATCTTGTTATGAGCCTGTAGAAGGCGCTGTTTCTCACAAACACATAAAAGGTGCTGTCCCAAAAGTTTTTTTTTGTTTGTTTGTTGTTGTTTTTTTTACGTAAAACCTGTGCTTAAACAATAAAACATAAAATTAATCTAAAGCTTAAAAGAGTTTAGACAACTGTAAAGGCTGAAAGGGGGTGTAAAATATTTTTTGTGCATTTTCAGATGTGGATGGTTTGAATAAAGCAGACCATTTTTTGTTTCCTTTGTTTCTTTTTTTTGTTTTATTCTATATTCTAAAGAATAGCAAATTCTAATTTCTATTTATCTTATGTTGACCACAAAGAGAAATCAATAGACATCATTTTTATTTCTTTTTAATTATTTCCAAAGATAAAACTCACGCACTGAAACCTGCAGACTTCTTTGCCAATATTTTTATGTTGTTAATGTCAGAATGACATTTAACCAAATTTTATTTTATTTTCAACCAGTCGTGATCACAAAATAGAAAATTCCATATTTTCAAGCAAACATTAAATCTTTTAAGTGTTCAGCTTCTCATTCTTTTCCTTTTTTTGTGAACATCCTAAAACCAACACAAGGATCTGCCACCTAAAATAGTTTTTTTTGTTTTTTTTTTTTATTTACACACAAAAAAACAAGAGGATTAAGGTCTCATTTCCTTTCTTTCTACTGATAAAATCTGTTCTAAAACTATTAGTCAGTGATATTTTTTGTTTCTTTGCATGAACTATATTTAGCTGCATAGCCTTTCATTTTGTTCTCACATTGGGGTTTGGACTGGCCTTTTTTTTGTCCCCCAGTTTAAGGAAATACCCAGAGGTGGTTGAAGTGCAGTGTGAGCGACCATACGCAGACTACTTGAAGTGGTTTGGAGGAAGCAGGCTGGAAATTTACAGTGCATGTAAAATGGCTATGTTTGGAATACTGGCTTCTCATTTAGACGCGGCAGTGTTACATTAGCCATCCACACCGAGATATTTTTAGGAACCAAAGTTCAATTTTTTTGTTCTCATGATGAAATATTGATGTTGTTCCATGTATGTGCCTTGAGGTTGAACTTACAATGTAAAGTCCTTGAAACCTTTAAATGTTTTTGCACAAACTGTAAATACTTAAGTGAAGCTTTTTGAAAATAAAAGAGCCATTGGATTTAAACGATCACTCTTCATTCATTTTAGAAGAAGTAAGAGAAAGTTTCTACAAATGTGAGTGATCAAACTTTTCTTGTTTTACACAGAAATGGGGCTTTCTAAATTTATACTAGTTCAGACGGTTATATTTCTGGGTCAAAGATTTTTGTTCTACCCCACAAAGCCAAGTTATCCACATCTTTCTATATAGGAAGGTTCTGACATCTTAGTGTAGCCACCACAGCTCGGCAGTCAGCTGGGGGAAATCCAGGATTTGACTTGCATGGCGCTAGTTAATCCCAGAATGAACTATTTCCCCCAAACCTTGCAGCCTCTGTTCCAGTCTGGAAAGCCACATTAGCCCAGTCCTAATTCATTTTGACAATTAACCACAGCTGAAACACAAAAGGGTGTGTCACCCTGTTATTTTGTGTGGGAAGTTTTTATATTCCTTAAGAACCCCAAATTTTAAAATGTGATTTGTTGTTGCAGGACTGAAGGTTTCATGGGGAAGGCAGTTGGGTGAAATGAACTGTGGCTTTGGCGCTACCTTGTTGTTCTTCCCTCCTCCTGTGCTGTCCAGTTCCATAAAAGTTATGCACTCCTTAGTTTCTTTTCTTTTTTTTCTTTCCTTGCTTTCTCTGCTAACCTTTTGCTCCCAACTTCAGTAAAGCTACAGTAATGTTGTAAAGTTCCACTATAAACTTTAGGGGGAAAGAATTGAGTTTAGGCTTTGGTTTGGCCCAAAATGCACCTTTTACACAAACATTTTTTAGACATCATGAGGTCTGCGGGAGGAGTTGTCTGATTAAAAGATTAAATTGCTTAAAATGTTTAACTTTAAAGTTAGACCGTAAAAGAAAAATAAACTGTTAGCTGTGTGCATGCACTGCACTTTGTATTATTTTTTTTAAATACCCTTAAAAATATAAGATTTGAGTTCAAATCAAAAAAATTGTATTTCCCTGCAAAAAATCTTAATCTTGATAAGTAATTTTTTCTTAAAATAAGTGCATTTGTTCTTGAATTGAGGAGATAAAAGAAACATCTTGCCAATGGAACAAGACAATTTAGATTTAAAATAAAAAAAAAACACAATTGCATTCTCTTATTTCAAGTGAATACTATCTAATTATCTTATTTTAAGAGTAAAAATACTGATTCCATTGGCAAACTACCTCACTTACCTACTCAAATCAAGGGTAAATGCACTTAATTTAAGAAATTTTTACTTATTTCTAGATCGTTTTTCCAGGGTATTTAGTTTATGAGACATGGTGGTGCCGTTTGCTGCATTAATACCTTGCAGCAAAAAAAGTCCTGGTTTCAGTCATTCTAACTGGAGTTTGCATTTCTCCTTGTATCTGCACCAGTTCTCTCTCTGTACTGTAGTGTTGCTTCCTCCCAGAAATCCGAAACATGACTATTAGTTTGGTTGGCATTTCTAAATTGACCTGCGATATGTGGTTATATGTATCTATGCTGCCAGAATGGATTTGCCAGAAGGTTTGCCCTCCTTTTACCTGTAATTTGCTGGCAGTAGAAACCTGACAGCAAGACAGATGAATATCTAGTTAAAACTTGTCCATAAAAGAATGTCTGTATAAATAAATTCTATTCATTGCATCTAGGAACATATATCAGGAAGGATGTTCATATCCTCCAGAAATATATTGATTTCTACATAGAATCTCGCTTAATCTTTAACTCAAAAGCATTTCTATATGTTGCAGATCTATAGTTTTTATATTAATCCAGACAATATAATTGCTTTTGAGGAGAAATGAGACAGATGGATCACAAAAATAAAGTAATATTGTAAAGTAAGTACATCTAATAATAAGTATATCTAAGGAAATAAATATGTCTTAAAAAAGTGATCACAAATAGCATTTTTAAAGTAAAAAAAAAATCTATTGACATTATGGTAAGAAAAAGCTTTTCAATCCTGACTTTCTTTTTGGATGTATCCACTGGTATTTTGAGCATGTATCTTTGGTGACTGGAACATATTCTAGCCATTCAAGCCTTTTTCTCCCTTCAAAGATTCTCTGTGTGATAAAAATCTGGCTCGGCCACCAAACAATTTTAACATTACTTACAAAAGAAGCTCATTAGTGAAATTAAAAGACGACTTTAAACCTGTGGCATTGAATGTTCTCTGACAGCTGTTTGCCTTTAAATAAAATTAAAAAAAATAATAAAAGACGACAATTCCATGATACTCATAC